ACACCCATATGTCGGTAAAGGCGGTGCTCCAGATACCTTGCAGGAATGCCACCACCGATGACGGTCATATTACGCCGTCCTTGGACATGCATATCATCGAGGCCAATCCGCAGAGATATTACAACATGCATTAACTAGACGCAAAGGTCGAGCGCTCGCTCGCAGCAGCCGCGAGCGTCGGCTGGAGGGGAAGCGGGGTACATGCAAAGAGCAAGTCCATGCCTGTAGAAAGAGCGTGCCTGCCCATTGGCGGAAGTGCAGGGTGACGTTGCAAGGGTACATGAGCGCACCAAAAAAAGGCGTGAGGGGGCCCCATCGGACCCCACCCCCTGACGCCGGCCCAATCAAGCGGTTCGTCTAGACGCCGGCATCCATGGGCGTGTGTGCACAACTCCCGTCATTGGCTGGGCGCCTCAGACCACGGACAAGTCACTGTCCGTCCATCATTAGTCTGTCGGCAAGCTACTGCGTCTTGATGCCTCTTTCATGCATCGTGCTGCGTCTTCGTGTTGTCCCCCTGCCACCGTTTAAGCGCCGGCCTCTCTGATTATCCCCTCATCCCCTCCTCTTCGGACTGGGACTGCCCTTTGTCGACTGTTGTCCGCTCGCGTCTCTCTCGCCTGCGCCGCCTGCATTCGCCTGCATTCGTCTCCACTCCGTGAACAAGAAATGTGATAACATCGTCGGGCGAACTGAGTTCTGTGTATGTATGTATGACCCATGGTCCCATGTCCATCCCATGTCCAACCTCCCATTGGATGGCTGCCTGGGTAAATAGTGCCATCATGTCTTTTCATTCTTGCACATGTCTCCCAAGCGTGCAGCTGGAAAAGTCAACCAGGCGGCCATGGCCAGCCATGGTTGTTTGTCAAAGCCGACTGTGAGGCACGAGATGCCGGCTCGTTCATATAACATGGAGCCAACACCCCCTTCGTTTCCTCTTTCTCTTCCTTTCTGCTTCAGCAAGTTCTGTCAACTCAAATCCTCGTTTCTGTTTGTGTGTTGTGTTTCCCCTTTTCCCTTTGCCTTTTTTCCTTAGCCATCGTAGAGCTGGTCTCTATCTATTCTAATATACATCGTCTCGAAAAGCCCTGCAATATTCACCACATACACTCAATCTCATTAAGTTGCTGGTCAGCTTGAGAGACGAATTATTCACTACTGCTATTGCATTATTGCCTCGCTGTTGTTTTTTGCTTACTCGCCTTAATACACTATCCCTAATAGCGGAATACCGTGGATTTTACTTGCTCGCCGACGCTCAAACCAAGTTCAAATTACAAATTGTTCAGGATCTTTGTCATTCGATTGCATCGTCAACTACAAGACTAATCAACATGTCGGCTATTCAACTTTCTTTCTCTCTTCGCGTCTCCTCGGGCGTCAAGGCCGTGCACCTTCTCGGCTCTTGGGACAACTACGTTGGTCAGCTCCCTCTCTCCAAGGACAAGTCTTCTTCCAAGTCTGGTTCCTGGAAGGGAACTTTCCGCTTCCAGAACTCTACCCTTGAGGCTGGCCAGCGATACTGGTATTACTACATCATCGACGGTTACCATGTCGCCCACAACCCTAGTGTTACCTCCACCACTGAGCCCACGACCGGCCGTGAGCTGAACATTCTCGACGTGCCCTCTGGGAAGTCTGACAAGTCCGACAAGTCCTCGTCCCGCCACCACAAGTCTTCCTCTTCCTCCAGGGATCACAAATCGTCATCCTCGTCGTCCAAGTCGAGCAGCAAGAGCTCCTCGCGTCATCACTCTTCATCCAAGGACAAGGATAGCCACCGCTCGTCGCGAAGTCGATCATCACTCTCCGTTGACATCCCCAAGGGACGACCTCTCTCGGTGTCCCAGATCAAGGCTCCCAAGCCCATGTCTCCGCACGCGACCAAGCACATCCTCGAGTCTGACTACTACGACAATGAAGCAATCGAGGAACTCACCGCCCGCTTTGGCAGCGCTGGCATCGACGAGGAGGATTTCATCACCGACTTTGGCACATCTCCCGTCTCATCCAGTGGCTCCTCCCTGTCGTACCGCTCCGACAGCTCGTCTCCCAACTCTTCCCTCTCCGGCTACAGCACACCAGGTTCAGACTGCAGCACATGCACTTGCGAGCGCTACGGAATCACCCGCAGAGGCGAGCGCGTCAAGCTCGACTGCGGCGGCTCCAAGTGCGGATACGGAGACGATAGCTCCGACTGCTCCAGCTACGCCAGCGAGGATGAAGAGGACGAGGTCCACTACTCCCGCAGCCACTCTCGCCGCCATGGAATCGTTGTCAATTGAAAGGCCAGTGCTGAAAAGTGAAAGATACGCGTGTTGGTCATCAGAGGAAGGCCGAATTAGAGAAATCCGGCAGTTCATTCCCTTGAGCAGGCAGACGCTGACGAACTGGCGTCTTGCCGTCTTGCTCCCCAAGTTCTTGTTGTGGTAAATTCCGAATCAGTGCAACCTTTTTGCTTGCATTTACTGTACCCCCTCACCCGCAGCGTAGAAAGCCGCGCCAAGCAGGTCCTTGGAGTAGGCTGGCCGACTCAACTGCGGGTGAAGACTAATGGGTCGATGCTGCGGCCCCCCGTAGGCACATGGCCGAAGCTGGTGCCTACAGGAGTTTTCGTTTGTTAGTTCTTGAACAGCAGGGGGGCTTCGAAGGAGGACTTCAGCCTCCCTGCTCCATCTTCAAAACGTCAAGTGTGGACAGCCTCGATTTTCAAGATCGAGGACCGGCTCCAGGAGGAAGGAAAGGGGAGGAGGTTGGACACTTTTGTGGATGTGGCGAAGGACCGGGCCATGGGATGGTCTTAAGCTAGCCAAAAGTGTAGTAGATGGACCAGAGGCAGCTTCACTGCCCTTTTGAATAGAAGACGGTTGAATCTATTCATGAAATGGCGCGCCAATTGATGACGGTAATGTGCGATGGGAGTGAAGAGTGAATGAGAAACAGGACATGGAGCTAATTACCCGTCGCGTTTTTTTGAGGTGCAGACGGGCGTTGAGCTCTGGTGGAGACTGCTCCACGTCTGCCGCTGCACAATTCGGGGACCAGCGGGGAACTTGAAGGAACCGTCGCCTGTACCAGGGGCCACCTGTGCAGTCTGGTGTGCACCTGTTGACACCCAGCAGCGGGGTTGGTTCAGACCGACTGGAAACTCGGGCAGAGACCTTGACTTCTGCGGAACATTCAGACGTCTCCCATTTCTTGTTTCCTCTTACTTTTTCATTTCTGCAATTTCATAATCAGTAGCCCCTTATTCTTCTCAGCTTCAGGGAGTTCATCATTTCATAAGCCCCTCTAAAAAAAGAAATCATACCTAATTTATTTCCTCCGCGGCCTGCATCCCCCTGTCCCGAATCTCAACATGGCCGACGACCAGCTCATCCTCCCCATCATCGACTCCCACATCCACCTCTACCCCAGGTCCGAAGTTGATTCTCTCGCCTGGTGCGCGCCGTCCAACCCTCTCTACGGCCAGCGCTCCATTGCCGAATACAAGGAAGCCGCCAAATCAGCCCCGTCCCTCCTCGGCTTCGTCTTTGTGGAGGCGGACCGCAAACACGACCTGGATGCTGGGGAAACCGACGGCTCGGGCTGGGAGGCCCCTCTCCAGGAAGTCAACTGGATCAAGAGGGTCGCCCTCGGCCAGCCAAAAGACGGGGAGGGCCACACCGCCGATGATGCGAAGCTGTGTCTGGGAATCATACCCTGGGCACCAATGCCCAGCGGCAAGGACGTCATGGTGAGGTATATCGACAAGGTAAAGGAGGAAGCCGGGGACGCTTGGCCCAAGGTAAAAGGGTTCAGGTACCTGCTGCAGGATAAACCCAACGGGACCATGTTGGCAGACGGCTTCATCGAGAGCCTGAAACTGCTGGGCGAAAGGGGTCTCGTGTTCGAGGTGGGCATTGATCAGCACAGACGGGGAAAGAAGCAGCTGGATGAGCTGGTGGAGATGATTGACAGGGCTCATGACGGGGTCGAGGAGGACAAAAAGGTCACCATCATTTTGAGTAGGTCTCTTCGACGGCGTTGATGCCCGGCACGTGAGCTGCTTTTGCTGACTGGCCTGGCAGACCACCTCTGCAAGCCCGACCTTAGCATTTACAACCTCACGTCCGATCCCTCCTTTCGCGCCTGGCGCACGGCCATGTACACTCTCAGCAAGGCGTCGAGCATTTACATGAAGCTGTCGGGGGGGTTCTCGGAAATGCCCGAGGCCCTGCGCGCCCAGGACCCGGCACACATTTTCCAATCGACGCTGGGGTGGCTGGGCATTGTGCTGGCGACATTTGGCCCGTCCCGAATCATGTTTGGTAGTGATTGGCCAGTGTGTACGTTGGAAGGAATGGGTGACGAGGCATGGCCGAAGTGGAAGGAGGTCGTGGAGAAGATGTGCTGGATGGCCACATTGTCGGATGAGGAGAGGGCCATGATTTTTGGCGGCACGGCCAAGAAGGCGTATAATTTGTAGGGGAGAGGCTAAAATGCCAGCACTTGACGTCGTACTATGTAGTTGAGGTGTATCGGTAAGACTTAATATCCATCAATTGATCTGATCCATAGAGGATGATTTTTTTTCTGTAAGCAATATGAGCGAAGCCCACTTGTTGTTAAGGTTTCTAGGAGGTATTGCCACGAGGGTATCTTTTCCAGACTCTGAAAGAATCGATGCTTGGTACCCTTGAGCCCAAGATAAGTTGATCAGACCGTGGATAGATGAAGCAAAACAAGCCAGTATTTCATTCAGACGCATCTGAAACCTATCCCAAGTCTCTTTTGCACCTCTCAGATAGAGAGGCAATGACAACCCAACAGGCCTCACTTAGTTCACCTACTAAATCGACGCGGTATATGATAGAATTTGCTCTAGCCCAAACGCCAATTCATACATTCATTACTCTCTTTCCATTTGCACATCTAGTCCCAAGAGCGTCTCTTCCCCATCCCCACCAACCATGACAATGCTCAAGACCAAAGCCACCTCTCATGTACGGCACTCTCTAATCCTGCCCTCTCCCCCTATAACTACCCATCTTCTCGATCGAACTCATAATTCCGCTCCTCCCCGGCCGCGGTAGCCCTCCGCTGCCCCCCCTCACATGTCCCGGCGGCCGAATAGCAGATCCAGGAGCCCTGATTCCTGAGCCACCGCTCCTCCCAACATTACTACTTCTCGTATATTCCCCCGACGCTCTCGGAGTCTTTGCTAAATCAGCCCGTTCCTGTTGCTGTTGCTGCTGTGCACGTTGTTGCTGCGCACCCCCAACAAAGCTTTGCATAGACATCATCTCCTCCGCCAGTTGCACCAACTCGCCCTTTTCAACCCTCTCCCTCTCCAACATGGTTCTCAACTCGCCATTGTCCTTCTTGACAGTCGAAATGACAGCCTCTAACCGCTGAACATCCGCATTGAGTTCTTTGATTGCTGCACTATCCTTGGCAGCCTGCGCCTTGCGCTCTTCGATCTGCGTATTATCAGGCTCCAGTCTCGTCAAATTGGTTTCATGGTTCTCGCGAAGCTTAGCATTTTCCTCGCCCAGTTCCTCGATACGCCTTTCCATGTCCTTGACGCGTTTCTCCCAGCGGGCTTCGTAGGATTTCTTCAAGGCTGCAACTTTCGTTTCGTGCTTGCCTTTGTACAGGGCATGAAGTTCTCTGGCCACTCTCTCCACGGCAATTTCTACTTCCTTGTTCGACGTAGCCTTGGCTTTTTCAGGAGATGTAATTGCGTCCTTTGTCTTTTCGCTGTCCTTGCCAGCACGCATACCAGCCATTTTGCTCTCGGCCTCTTGATGTAGCATCTCGGCTGCTTCTCTGCGCTTCTCGCTTTCTTCGAGTTTCTGCTCGAGCTCTTCTCGTTCGCGTTGGCTAGTCATAACCTCCTCCTTGATCTTGCGGAGGACATTCTCCATTTCACGTCCACGCTTTGCCCAGTCCTCCTTTTCGGCGGATAGTTGTTCCCTGATGCCTCGTTCTTCGCGTAGTTGCTCCATCGACTCGCCGACTCGCTTTTCAGCATCGCCAACTGCAGTCTTGAGAGAATGAACCTCCGCTTCTTTCCCGCTCAGAGATGCCTTGAGGGAACTGATTTCTGATAAAAACCCAGACTTGAGTGATTCTAGCTCGCGGGGTGTAATGGATGGAAGGCTTCGGGGTGTAGGCAAAGGGGGAATATCAAAATCAATCAGGTTGGTGACTTGGCGATGTGGCGTCTCCGAGACACCGGGCGTTGTTCGCGGCGGCGACAAGGCGCCTCGCCTGCCAGGTGACTTCTGCTGTGGAAAACGCATTTGGTCCGTGAAATCCATTAACAAATTTGTACTGTTGTTGGTACCGTCCGACGGGGTAACCGGCCGAAGAGAGGAATCCTGTTGTAGCTTTGATCGTGGGGTGTATCCATCAAGCCCAGATCTAGTCGGACTCTGTCCCAACTTTGCAAAAACCGTCAGATTAGGCACCACGGAGAAGGTACTAAAGGTGCTGATCATCGACTCATCCGGCCCGGCAGCATCATCGTGCTCCTGCTCTCCAGGTCGCAGCTCTGCGTTCGTATCCGCGTCTGCATCCACGCGCAGCTCGCTCTCATCCTCAAATATATCAACCGCCTTCTTCAGACCCTCATTGCTTCTCACCATGTCTGCCACACTAATCTTCCTCTCTTTCATCGCCCTCCCCTCATCATCTTCACCCCTTGGGCTAATTTTGATGGGAAATCTCGCCACCGGGGACACCTTTCTCGGGCTTCTCTGTGGTGGTGGTCCCATGGACCCATTTTCTGTGCTACTGCTCGAGGCGCTTTTCTGATCGCCCAGAATCTTGAGCGGTGAGAGCTCCGTCCCGGAAATGACACGACTATTCCGAGCCTTTGACGGGGAGACATTCTCCTGGTCCGTATTGCTGGTCTCATTGACGGAAGATAAAAACGGTGAGGAGTTTCCGGATTCATCTAGAAGTTCGGTGCCGAGCCTGTTCGTGCTCGTAGTGGTCGTTGTTGAGGTAAACGAGCGCACCTCGTACTGCTCGTACTTCCTCTTGCTGGGGGGCGTGGTTCTGTTAATGCTTGCCTCGCGGACAGGAGACAATGGGGACGCCATAATGCAGAGGGCCAAGGTGCAACAAGTCTATCGTAGAATGGCAAACAATTTGTCGACACCGTCAGTGATGTCAAAGTTCAGTCTAATGTCATGGGACGTTCCGTTTGTTGATGCTCAAAGTGCAAAAATGAAATCAGGACGTGGGAAATCTATTCTGCAATAGTAGAATCAGCGCACTATTTTCGTTGTGCACGGTTCAGAATTTGTAAAAAAATTCGAGATCGTATCTTAACAATTGCCAAAAGAAAAAAAAGTCTCGTCGTTTGAATCAATTCCACAAGGCCATCACGCCCAAAACACGTTGCAAGACGACCCACTTTGGTATTTCGTTGGCTCAGCAACCATCCTCACAGCAGATCACGTGGACTGCAACGTAGACTTGACGCTCGCAAGTCTGAATTGACGACTCGAGAAGAAACAGACAACTGAGCTAAGCCCAGATGGCAATTAGCGTTATTAGGATTTGAACTTAACCTTCCTCATAAACTAGGAAACCGCAGTCTACTAAGTGACTAGTAGTACTTTCCTCATGTCTCTTATGCTTTACTTCTGTGGAGAACTCAACGCCAAACCTCCGTGAGTCAGCTCTACTAGTAGTTGGTTATCTGGAGTCCGGACCCTCAACTTGAACCAAAGTCCAGCCCCACAACCAACCTCAACAAACCTCGTCACCAAGGCAGCATGTCGTACATTACCGTTGCAGCAGCCACTCTTACGAGTGTGCCGCTTGACTTTAAAGGCAACCTTGCGCGTATTCTAGAGAGTATCAAACTGGCCAAGGAGCAAGGTGCAAAATTGCGTACTGGACCTGAGGTATGCATGATCCATATGCGGCTCCCTGGCAAATTTGACATGAGTCGCTAAATGATAGCAGCTGGAAGTTCCTGGCTATGGATGCCTCGATCACCACCGTATGTCTCATAAATATCACCATGATCTATGATCTATGAGTATCCGATGATTGGTATTGTGTGGAGAGCGTGAAATGGCAAGCTGACCAACGCAGTTGAGGGTGACACGTTCCTCCACTCGTGGGAAGTCGTCGCCCAGATCCTCAACGAGCCCATGATCAAGGATATGCTCATTGATGTAGGCATGGGAGTTCGCCACAGGAACGTTCGATATAACTGCCGCGTGCTTCTCACGTATCAACATATATACATGATTCGGCCCAAGATGAGTCTTGCCAATGATGGACTGTACCGCGAGGCTAGGCATTTCACTGCATGGTCGAAGCCTCGGACTACTGAGACGTATTATTTGGAAAAAGTTGTGAGGGACATTACGGGGCAGAGATCGGTGCCGATTGGCGATGTGGTTCTTTCGACAATGGATACTTCTGTTGGGTGAGTTTCAGCATGGTGGTGTGAGCTTTGGCGGGTGAGAGATGCTAATGAGTGTAGTTGTGAGACCTGCGAGGAACTTTTCACGGTGAGTTTGTTTCAAGCTCCGAGTTTGCTTATGCAGGAATGCTTGTGCTAATGCTTTCAGCCTTCAAACCCGTCAACGTACATGGGCCTCAATGGCGTTGAAGTCATTCTGAACTCGAGCGCGTCACATGCTGAACTGAGGAAACTGAATACAAGACTTAATCTCATTCAGAACTGCACTCGCAAATTGGGCGGCTTGTACGTGTACGCAAACGCCACGGGTGTTGGTAGGAAGAAACAATTCTGCAACGCATTATTCGTTCAAATCTAACATGCAAGTAGACGGCGAAGCAAGAATGATGTTTGACGGTTCATCCATGATCCTCTGCAATGGCGCCGTCTTGGGCCAATCCCCCCAATTCTCACTCGTGCGTTTCCCTCCCCGAGCCGTTGTCGCATATCGCTGACACACACACTAGAAAGAAGTCGAAGTCCTCACCGCAACAATCGACCTGGAAACCATCCGCAGCCACAGAAGCAGCATCTCGCGCAACGTCCAAGGCGCCGCTCAACCGGACTATCCCCGTGTGGAGTGCGACCTCTACCTCAGCCGGCCCGCCGACGAAGTCTTCATCTCCGATACCCTCCACCTCTCTCGCGAAATCCAGCTCAATATCCCGGATCCCATGCAGGAGATCTACATGGCGGAAGCAGTCTACCTGTGGCAGTATCTCACACGCTCCAACTTGGGAGGCTTCTTCATCGCCCTCTCCGGAGGGCTTGATAGTGCCAGTGTTTCGCTATTTGTGTACGGCATGGCCAAAGTGGTATTGCAGTCTGTCAAGTCAGGCGATGAGAGAACCTTGTCGGAGCTGCGTCGCATCACGGGCGAAAAGGATCTTGTCCCTGAGACGCCGCAGGATATTGTGTCGCGTCTCCTGCACACGTGTTACATGGGAACTGTAAACAGTGGCGAGCACACGCGGTCAAGAGCGAAGAGACTGGCAGCGAGGATCGGGGCGTTCCACTCAGATGTCAATATTGACGAGACTGTCTCTGCGCACGAGGCCATCATCAAGCAGGCGATGAATTTTGAGCCCAAGTTTCAGGTGGAAGGGGGCTCTGTGGCAGTGAGTTGCGACCAAGGGGGTTCTGCATGTGTGTGTGTGGAAACTAATCGTGCAGGAAAACTTGGCCAAACAGAATATTCAAGCTCGCAACCGGATGATTGTTGCCTACGAGGTATGAGACCTTATGAGGTGTTGGATGTATCTGACAGGTTTCAGCTTGCGCAATTGAGCACGACGGCCCGCAAGTTACCCAGGGCAGGCACCAGTCTTCTAGTTGTAAGTCGAGTGGTGTCTTCATATCCAACGCGGCTAACACCGATCAGCTCTCCTCTGGTAATGTCGACGAAGCTCTACGAGGGTACGTACACCCACCACCACCTCAGACCACCTCAAAGGATATCTGCTAACGTTGGTAGATACTTAACCAAATACGACTGCAGTTCTGGAGACATTGCCCCTCTGGTGAGTTAACACATATCAACTAGCATGCTGTAGATGTCTGACGTGTACACAGGGCAGCATTTCCAAATCCGATGCCAAGTCGTTCCTCGCCTGGTGCCGCGACACATGGGACATGCCCATCATCACAGTAATTACAGGCCCTCCCCCCCCAGGATGCTGAGACGGAATACTGATTTTCCAGGAATTCCTCGAGGCACGTCCCAGCGCAGAACTCCTACCCCTTTCTGCTGGTGAACAAGACGACGAATCCGAATCCGAAATGGGCTTCACGTACGACGAATTGAGCACATTTGGCATTCTCCGAAAGGTATCACTGCATCCGAATCACGCATCACGAAATGATGACCCAGAGCCCATTGCCAAACGGCGGGGGAAACAACAGTGGTTCTAACATGTCTAGGTTGAAAAACTCGGCCCCTGGTCCTGCTATCTCCGGCTCCTCGTTGAATGGCAAGACCGCCCCGGCTACGGCCCTCGCGAAGTAGCTACGAAAGTGCTCAGGTTCTTTCGCTTTTATTCGATTCACAGAAATAAGAGCACGATATTGACTCCAAGTTTGCACCTAAGTGCCTATGTAAGTTCCATCAATAAAGCATTTCTTTTTTTCTCAAGTATGTGGGTAGAGAGACGCTAATGATGCGTTCAGAACCCAGATGACAACCGGCATGATTTGAGGCCGTTTTTGTACGTGGTCAGCTGGCCATGGCAGTTTGAAAAGATCCAGAAGCATGCAGAGGAGTTGGCGGAGAAACTGGAGAGGAAATGAAGTAGATGGCAAGTAAATGTTCAGATGAAATATTTTGTATAGAGCAGATTGGGGACCGACGAATAGACAAAGTGTGCTGCTGCGTATTGCGATCATCGGCCGTGTGTGCCTGTGAAAGCAAACACCCACACTCAGCCAAGGTGCGCATACCGCATGATGTGTCAGTAGAAATAACAAAGCAAGTCTGTACTCCGTACTCCGTACACCTGGCAATATGGCCTGCCTGAAACCAAAAATGACGCTGCGGCTGGGCCTTTTCCCATGCCGAGGGGTGTGAATACGAGATGACAGGGCTCAGAAGGACCTGAGACATCTGCCAACGGCAGATTAACCTTTTTTTTTTTTCAATAGCCGGCATCACATGTACACCTCAAGTGCTGTCTTACACAACGGCCACCACGTCACGTCAGCCATTCCCGAAACTCTAATCTTGAGGTGCCCCCCAAGATTCGGCTACATGTACGGCCCGCGAAACTCCCTCCTCGCAAAGTCTAGATCCTATCAAGCGGGGAATCTTCAAAATAAAATCGCAACACCGCTTGCAAAAAAAAAAAAAAAAAAACACATTTACATAATCCATTCCCGAGTGATGAAACCAGTGCCCAGTGCACCGACAAGTCAGATTCTTGCCATCCAGTCTGGTGTTTCCCAAAGACCCCAAGCCACCACCCATATCAGACAATCACAATTCTCCGCAGCAGGGCCCGTGCAACCCGCTTCCCGTCCGTCCCTAGCCCCCCTTTAAAAAAAAGCAATCTTGAGGCGTCAAAAGCCCAAACAGACCTACTCCGTACCTAGTAGCTAGGTACTACTCCGTACCACTCCGTAGTCATCTCAAAGCATTCGCGCGAATGGAAAAAAGGCAAGGTCAAGTTATTCAGGAACCCAAGCACACACCGACATCGCAGCGCCCCCCAAACCCCCGCCACGCAAAGCGTCGCAAACGTTGGTTAAATCTCTGCGAATCCTCAATCAATCCTTGGCTTTGACAAAGCTCAATGGCCGCAGAAATAAATCTACAAAGAGTTTGCCCACCAATGCACACCTGCTTCACTTGGCAATCCCCAAAGACGCGGCATGTAAGTTTTTGCCCTGCTCTCCACATAAAAACCCAGATGTCATCAATCGACATGATATCCTCCTTGCTACGAAGGAGCACTCCAACCGCAACGACTGGTGTATCGTACTACCCAATGTTAATATGTAACACTTGGGCTGTGTGGGCGTGCCGACAGAGCACTGTCACCTCGAGATTGCACCATATGAACACCTAGGTAGGTGGGCAGAACAGTATCGCTGACATGGCATCGAGACCGTAAATGTACATGGACGAATGCACAAAATGAAAAAAGATTCCGTGTCGAACCAGTACTAATGCAGTACCAGGTTCTCACATAACCTACTCTAAATCTGACAAACACGAATTCATTATCATCACAAACACTTTGCTGTCATCATGTAGTATATATAAATATATATATTGAAATATTGGAAAGCTTTTATTTGTCATTTCGTAAAGTCGTTACCTAAACGCGGTATTGTCCAACACACACCTTCTTTGACGCTTTTTGTTTAACGTAATCAAAACAAGACGGTGAACAAAGATGGTCGTAAAGTCATCATCAGAATCGCGGATGTCTCTTTCGTTTCCAAACAAATCTTCCACCGGAAGACCCCTGTGAAGCTAATTGAACGGTGAAAGAAAAGAAAAAATAACGTTATGCCAAGGTAATGTGGCGTGGGAATACCCACAAACCAACTCATCATGTCTGGCCTGAGGATCGTAACAGGCTCGAAGTGCTCTCGCTCTCTTCTGATGTGTTCGTATCGTTGGGTCAAGATTGGAAAATCAAGCCACGGGTCGTCGTAGTCCGAGACCGTTCTCCCAGCGCAAAGCTAAAAAATAAAACAAAAACAAATATAACCCACAGCAAATCATGAAAAAATTAAATCCCTCCATGCAAACCGTAACTCATCAGGCACGTAGAGACGTGACAGGCATGCTATGTAACAGAGAAGTAGTGGCCATCGCTCGTCAGCAAGTCTTTGACCCGAGTAGACGTGTTTGATGAGACGACTGCCGAAAATACAAGACCGGAGTCCTCTGCAAACAATAAGAGGGGGAAAAAGAAACATTAAGGCAAAAGGGAAAAGATGGCAAGTATCCATTGAAACAAGGAACGTATCTGTATTGTGTGGCGAGTTTGTGGCAGCATTTCGTTCCGTATTATTCGGGAGATGGTGATATTGTAAAGTCTTTGATTTGAGCTCAAACCCAACGTGTCGCTATCGTTTCGCCGCTGCCAGTACTAAACGCCCCAAAGCCAGTACCGTTAACGAAGAAGAAAAAAAAAGGTAAAACACAAGAAACAATGCTAATTACGACGCATCGAAATTAAGCACTGCTCTAATAGCAGGGTATCATCACACTGAGATGCGTGGCAAGATAAGTGGCGAGTTATCTCGCATTTACCGCCTTCTAGGTGCGGTAATGGCGGGAGCAGGTCGGTTGAGCGCGTCGTAGGCTGGAGCCGGCACAGTTGTCTCCATTATAGTCCTTCGTCGCTTGAGGTCTCCGTTGCTCATACCATTGGCTTCGCTGCCAGATTGGGACAAGTCCTCATCATCTTCGCGCCCTCGCTTCATGCCTCCCGAGGCACCATTCATCAGTAGCGGCTGTGGCGCATAGCCATTGGGCATAGGGTTGGGCATGTCAGCTGCGGGGGCATAAACATCACCACCAGGGCCTGCATTAGTCTGACCTCGGTCATTGCTGACAACATTGTAGAGGTTGCTGGTTGTCTGCTGCACGCGAGGAGGCGTATTGTAGCCATTGTTTTGGGGGTAGTATGACTGATGCGGAGCCGCTGTCCGAGGCGTCGCCCGCCCAGAGCCAGATGGGTGGCCAGGAGACCCTGTCATATCAGGGTTGATGTTCGCGTCGTTGGCCAAGTTTCCAACGCTTGGTGCCGTATAGTTGTAAGAGGAGCGAGATGCATCATAAACACCGCTGTTATGAGTATATTCTGCCTCATGCTCGGGCTCGCCTTCTTCTTCGTGGCCATGTGCAGACTGCTCAGACTGCATGATACCGTTGGTAGATTTGGCATCATGCTGCTCCGTAGGCTGACCAGGCGCGGCGGGTCGACTAGATGGAGGTCCCATATCACTCTTAGGATAGGAGCTAGGCTGGCTATAAATACGATCGTTGTTAGCAGGATTCGCGTTCTGGTACGGCGACTGCTGAGAAGCAGAAGCACCATACATCTGACGGGAGTTGTCATAGCCCTGGCTGGCCTGGTGGTAGGGCTGCATATTCTGGATCGGCTGTCCAGGGGGTGTCGTGGCAGGTGTGTTCGGCATCGAGCGCGTGCTGTTTAAGCCGGTTTCGATGGCTAGTGGGTTGGTGCCTTGCGCACCATTCATTGCCTGACCTTGCCAGCCAAAGTTATCAGAAGCACCCATGCCACCTACGCCTGGATTACCTGGTGGTGTGGGAAACGTATGAGCCCGGTCAAGAGTTGGGCGGCTACCCATGCCGCTGTGAGAAGGAAGAGATGTCTGTGAGCCGGGAAGAGCCATTTGCTGATGCTGCTGAATAGACGGCAAGCCAGGCGGAGGGGGGGGAGGGCGAATTTGGCTCTGCTCTTGTTTGCGGCGTTCAGCTGCAGCCATGACTTGGCTAGTACGGGTCTGGTTCGTGGGGTGATAGAGCAGAGCTCCAATGTTGTGCACAAACAGTGGATAGAGCATTTCCGTGATCTTTTCCTTGTTGGCGAAGTCAAGAGCCCGTTCATAAGGAATCCTAAAATTTTGTCTTAGTGTACTGTTGCTGCGCTTTTTCCTTGTCTGACCCACAGGGGACTCTACGTACCAGACGCCCTTCAGATGCATAGGGCCGATCTTAACGACATGGCGCACTTTTTCGCTCTTCAGGATGCCATCCCGTCGACCTCTTGTCATGCCAGCTACGTTTAACAATTTTGTGCCATTGATCATGTGGTTGTCTGTAGAGAAAGGGGAGATTAGTCACAGGCTCTTTCCTGCTGTGTGTCCCGGTACACTACCCAGTGTCTCTTTGATACAGCCCGGGTTGCAAGTTTTGGTTCGGCATACCTTCACGTCGGGCCACGCAAATTCCTCGGGCTTCGACTTGAAAGCACAAGCTGCCCTCATCTTCCCACAACGTAGCGGTAACCCGTGGTTTCATGCCAGGAGGGGGGTTCTGTCCAGTGGTATCAAAACCGGCGTAGTGGTTGGCCATTGATGCCTGTCCAGTAACTCCAGGAAGTGGTAGGACCGAAGGCGCCGCACCCATGGGGTTCGACACTGCTTGGGCGGCAGAAGGCGATGTCAAGCCATTTGCGTACTGAGGGTACTGGCCATATGGATTTGGATTGCTGTAGTTGCTAGGTCCGGGTTGCATCAGATGCGGTGGGTGCTGGTACGAGGTGAGGTTGTTGGAAGTGACAGTCTGGGGAGGCGGAGGTTGGCCCCCAGAAATGTGCTGGGGGTAGTACATCTCCGGGTTCTGGTGGTTCATGGCGTCGTAGCTGACGATATGAGTCGCTGGCCCTGCAATGGTGGTGTTAATGAATTGACAGAGTTTGCGACGGTGGAAGGCAGCAATAGATATCTATATTACTCATGCAATAAAGAACATGGGTGCTATGCATCTATTGAAAATGGCGACAGGCGAGACAGAATGGGTCAAAAGGGAAAGGAAAGAGAGAGCCAAAAAAAAAAAAAAAAAGAGGCCGGCAGTCGGTGGCCGGTGAGGGCGACGAGGTTAAAGGTGAGGGTGCGGTTAGAGGGTGAAAGAGGAGCGGCCTACAAGAGACAAAAGACGCGGACAGACAGGATCCTTCCTCGCCTTTGAACTTCCGCGCGCCTCGTCGACTCGTCACTTCGTCTCGGCTCGTACTTGGGTGGTTGGCCGCGGAGAGAGGGAGAGAGAAACGAAAGAGAAAGAACGTGCAAGATGAAGGAAAAGAAGGATGGGGAGGCAAGAGAGAAATAGAGGAGGTCGGAAGGAGGGTCTTTGAGGACCATCCAAGAGGTGCAGGGGATCGCGGCAGGGTCAGGCAGGGTCGAACTGGTCGGGCAGGTCGAGGTACTTAAGTAGGGCCAGCTGTGAGAGGTCTTGACTCTCGAGCACAGTGAGTACTGAGTACTTGCGCAGCGAGCAGGTCAACCGGTCGGAATCAGGTACTACTCGGCCCAACAATTGAAGTACTTGTAATCGAGCTGGAGCGAGTGGAACCAAGGCGGCTTTGGACCAGGAACATTGGACCTTGGGAACCCAGACCCTGGAAGACGGGCTCGAGCAGGGAAGCCCGGGTGCTCTAGTTAGTATTACTACCACCTGCGCGCGGAGTACCAGGCGTGTTCAAGTGCTTGTCGCTGCTGGACATTGAAGTCGCGGTACTTTGTCAATCGCGGAGGCTCAATGTTCAAGTTCAGCGACTCGCCCTGCGCGAAGTCAGGTCAACTTGGACGTTTTGGCTGTTATACCTAGCTGCCAGTGGCGCCTTGCCCTACTACTCACCGTTTTCCCACGCAGAAGCTTGTTGTGTGCAATTGGGTCTTTATGCTTGTGTAGGTTTTCAAACGGCCGCCAGACTGGGCCAAGCTAGAACGAACAGAACAAGACGGCTCGTGTCCGGTTGCCGTTGGCACACATACAAGGCACAAAGCCTTTCACCACATGGCTTGAACAATACGAAAAGCTTTTTGTGACTTAGGGCTCCAATGTCCCCGTAAGGTTTGCGAGCGCGCGGCGCGACTCTGCACGGAGAAAGAGTGGACAAGGTGGACGAACAGACGAGGGGTGAGTGGGCAGCTTTCGAGCTCCAGTTTGGAAACCCTGGAAAGTGTGGAGGGCCCGTCGTGGCACTGCCTTGGGGGGAGGCGACCGTCAAGCGGCACAGCGACAACGGAACTTGAAGGAGGACTACCAGGTGCAGGCGTACTCCGTCTGGGCGTCTGTTTATACTACTATCTACCGTGCTCCGCAGAGTGTGCAGTGGATGATGCCAAGTGCCCCCAGTGCGGATGCGGGAGTATTATTTGTATGGACATGGGCGACGGCGAGGGCGTGCGTGCTCGGTGAGGGTGGCGTGGCCATCAACTCGTCAAACTCGTCAAACTGTCGACTCGTGAGCATGGGCCGGACCTGCAAACATGGACGTGGCCGAACATGGAAGACGACAAAAGGGACGCGCTTGTGTGTGTTGAACCTTCAACCTTTGTTGGTACCAAGCACCAAGTACGGAGTACCTGATTGATCTCTGATGGAATACCGAGACTGCAAAGTCTTCGACGTTTCTCGGCTTGAGAATTGTGGACTCTACGGCCGTACCCCAGCCATTGATTTGCCATAATTAGGTGGTGGGATGCCAAAGGCGAAAAGCGATGGACTGAACCACTTTCTATGTATAGGGCAAAAAAAAAAATACATTGGATGGTGGATGATGGTGGACTGGGCATGGAGTTGGCCTGGATGTGCGTGCTTGAACCGAAGAGGGGTCATGGTGTCGGCGGGTGTGGGCGTGCATGTGGCATTCGAACTTGGAAACTCGAACCAGAACTCTGACTTGTAAATGTGGATGCCAGGTCGGCGAGGAAGAGGCGCCAACGTCGCACTCCAACTTCGACTTTGGTCTTGGAAGGCAAGAGCTTACATGCATGCCGTCCCGGCGCCTTTGCTTCAGAGCTTTCAACTTCTCTACTCCGTATTGTAGTCCGTAGCCCGCACTCCCTGGTCCGCTGTCCGTATTATGTCCGTATCAACTCATCCATGTACAACTACTGGCCACTCGGCTCTATCATCTAAAACTCTCCAGTATGACCAAGTATGGAGTGCTTCGATTGGCGAGACTACAGCCGGCCACGACAGAGACAAACGTTGTCATCCTCCTGACCACTCAACTGCCCAACCTCTCCATCCCGTCCCTCCCTCACCATGATTGCTGGCTGGCTGGAGCTCCAACCTGGCCTGGCCTGGCCACCTGGCTGGCTGGGGTGGGTTCCCTGTGCCGTCCTCCTCATCCTCTGACCCTGTCCTTCGTTCTTGTTGCTTTGGGGCTGGCTGACCTGGATGCCTGGCGGACCAACAGACTCCGGCCTCTCCTGTCAAGGTATCGGTCTCGATACCGCCCGAGTTCTGTGTTCGTGTTTGTGTCTATGTCTCGCCATGTCTTGCTGTGCCTTGCCTCGTCTCCAGCATGATCGAGACCTTGGCCCCGTGCTGTGGCCAATTGTCTGGTCCTCTTTCTGCGTCAAATCCTCCTCCTGGTTGCAGTGAGTATTTGTTTGCTTCGGAGGCTGCCCCGTACTCCTTTGTTTGACGTATATTCCGAGATCACCGGAAATCAAGAAACTCGATTTAAACATTGCCATCAGTAGGTCTCCCAGCCCAGTCCCGGCCCTTGTCAATCATGTCCAGTCCTCTAGCCCAGCCTCAGTGGGCTTTCCGCGCTGGGGAAGGCAAGGGGAGACGGAGTACACACCCCGGGCCAGAGCGATCTGAAAGCTGCAGGGCCTTTTTGGCCGCTTGTCTGTCGCCGTAAGGTGAAATGGTAGCGGCTAAACAGGGTAGATGGCCTGTACCTACCTAGGTGGCCATTCAAGCACACAGAAATGGAAACAAAGCGCTGTAATAACTCCGTACAGAATGGTGAGTTGAGCATTGGAGAGAAACAAGCTGGATTCTCGGTTCCCGTCATCCAGGCAGATGCCCGATTAGCAACCATGCAAATACTGCTTAACGTAGTCACTGGAATGGGAAGCCCAGTGGCAATATCGAGACCCTTACTAACCATACCATCATGTCAATGATTTGCATGGACTGGCTGAACCCGGGCAGTGCTTGGCAATTGGCGCAACCAACGCGCGATGGACAGCCGTGGCCGAGACCAACCCTACTTTGTATCGCTATCCATGAAGGATTGTGTTCTTCGACCCCCGATGCTGCCCTGTTCGCCCCAACCCGCGCCGCCATGGCGTCTGTTGTATCTTCCCCTCTGTTCCCGCACCCTTGAGGGCTTCGAGGCATGTACAATTGATTGAGAAGGAGGTTGGCTTTGTTGAAGCTCACTGCAGTCGTTCAAGTCTTCCATAGTCAAGGTCCACAGTTGGGCGCCGTAATGGCCACAGCGTCTCTTTTTTTTCGATGGCACGGGTGTGGATGAAGGAAGTGGAGCACGAACAAGAGAACTAGTATTCAGGACCCAGAAACTCCCTCATCAGATCTTATGCGTGGATTGTGTAGACTAGTAGAGCAACAATGGCGTGGGATCCGAGCTCGAGTAACTCTTTAAACAGAAGGCATCTACCATGTCGATTGTATATCTCCATGGACCGAGAAGGAAAACACGATATCGGCCCAGAGAGAACCGGAATATACGGAGTACCAGACGTCGTCAATCCGCATGTTCTCTAGAGACTCTTTCGCAAAGAGTTGGGGGCGTGTCGACATAGGCATGGCGGCGTGGGTGGAGCAGGGTCACACCAGGGATGATGATGGACGGCGCGGGTGAGCCTGAGAGACCGATTTGTTAGTACTAGTGAAAGCTGACATGGAGCGAACTTCAACGAGGTAGGTCGTGATGGTTGAGCTTTCGCTGCCAGTGGAACCAGGGTCAGGGACAAGGGTTGCTGATGGGCGGACGGCGATGGACACTCGACGGACAGGTCGGGGCCTCTGGCTGGTCATTGTCATGGTGCTTTGCTTCGGGCTCGTCAACTCTTGAGAATGGTTGAGCCATGCCGAGATAGGCTGATAGTCTTTTCCAGACTAGGAACTGTTTTGCTTGCCCGTCATCGCACGCCTAACGTTCTTGCCGGCTTTTTGTGCCCCCACTGCTCCTGCTTCGCCTCGCGCCGCCTTGCCTTGCATTGCTTTTGCTTTTGCTTCCGCTTTGCTTTTTCTTTTTTCTTTTGCTTGACATACATAATACTCCGTGCTTTAGCCCCAGGATCGGAGGACTTGAGGCCATGCACTAGAGAGGCTTTCGAGGCACGATGTTCTCGGCAGTGTTTTGGGTCGTACATGATAACACGTGCGGCGGCTGCCAGGCACCCCAAGCCGCGTCGAAGCGACTGTCACAGCGCCCTTCGTCCCAATATTTTCTTCTTTGAAAGCCTACCGTGAGTTTTTCCCATGTACGGAGTACAAAATTAGTAGTGACGGTGAAGTTGCCCAGATTGACGATTGTCAAAACTAGACGGCATGGTAGCCAGGAGTGGGCTTGGCCTGTGATGTTTCGTACTTGGGAGTAGCCACAAGCCGTTCCTCTTCCGACAACCAGCCCCATCGTCATGGGTAGGTTACTATCAAAGCTAGGGAAATCACCACTTGTGCTCCGAATTCCGTACAAAAGGACAATTTCGGAACGGGAGGACGGGGGCAAAATGGACTACACTTGACCCTCCTGGCTTAGCCCTGGATCGGTTCCGTTGTCGTCGTTGCAACGCCCACATGTCAGCGTTGCGTTCTTCCCGTGGCTTCGTGCGGCCAAGTTGCCAATGTTCAACCTCGCG